TTTTGCAGTACTGGAGGTAGAACCTAGAGCTCTGTGCATGCCAGGCAAGTTGTCTACCAATGAGCCACATCTGGCCCCAGCAGCCTTCATCTTTAATGTAGAGCGAGTCAGGAGTGAGTTGCTAAAAAGATCCAAGTGCCCGGGACTCAGACTTCACTACTAGGGCCAAGGTGAGGCCTGTAGAGCTCCAGGTATGGTCAGAGGACCTTATATATAACGTTCACCACAATCTGTCTTGCAGCCACACAAGGGAGAGGTCTGAAGGTACTGCTTCCAGTCTACAAGTATGGAAACCGAGGCAAAGAAGTCAGGTGCCCTGCCTTGCCTTGTACATCTGGGGAGTGAAGGTTCACACCCAGGCCAGCTGAAGTCCCTTGGAGCCTTGACCTTGGTCTCTGTGGCCTCGGCTTGTTCTTGCTCTTGACTCTGAGTGTATCTCCATGGCACCATACAGAGTCCCCTTCCCTGTCCCATCCCTCCATGCACTGGCTCCTGCTCCTGCCTATGAGCCTGTGAGCCTCTACTTTTCAACTACAAGACAAACGATCTCAAAACTCAAACAAGATTTCTATGCAGTCAATTAGTAATTTATTATTCAAAATTTCCCAGGAGATTCTCAATAAATATGGATGAAGTTGTAATCTTTGAGACACACTAGGAGAGGGGTTCAGCTGTGCTCCAACATCCCACAGCATCGGCAGCTTCCTTCCCTCTGGGGTGAGAAGGGAGTAGGTACACCAGGCTCTTGCCTACATCTGTCCACTGATTCAGGAACACCACACTTGCAGGCAGGAGAGAACCACCCGGGGCATAGCTGCGAAGTCTCTCCCACCTTGAGTTCCCGGCTTCCTCTATGAGCAAGCACGGCGAGGTTCAGCAACAAACAGACCATCACCGGCTCAGCCCAAGAGCTTTACTACTTCCTGTGTTGTGTTGTGTTCTATTACTATTTTCAACATTATTGAGAAGTTTCTTGGGAAAATCTGAGCACAGATTTACTAAATACTGCCCTCCAATAGGACTCAGAACAAATCTAACTGAACACCTGCAGATAAATTGACGATGATCTTTGAAGGCCACAGCTGGTAAGCCAACTTTGTAAGCCACTGCCTCTTCTGGCCCAAACTCAGCTACCGTCTGCAGATCTTGCTAAATCCACTCTGGCCTTCACGAATTACACAGACAAGAACAACCACTCAGGAGTTTGTATTCTGGGTTCAAGGAAACTACTGAGAAGAAAAGATCATAAACTGTCTAAGAATGGACTTGGGTACCTTCCCCCACGAACACAGGTACCAGTCTCCAAGTCACCCAAACTAGAGACAGAACCTTGTCATAATCCTCAGGATGCCACGTGGCCATAGAGGTTCCTGCTAGGCTGGAACCCACAGCCAGGAGTCCCATCTGAGCCTCCAGAGGTGTGACCACAAAACCTACCCATAAGGTCATGCTGTATAAAACAGTATCTATGAAGGAAAACCCAGGCCTCCTCTCCTCTCCTCTCCATCCACCCTTATACTCCCCTGAAGTGGGACATACCTCTAGACTTCCACTAGTCCATCTCCTACCCAGGCCTGGACCACAGCATAAGAGCTTTCACAATCTGCTGGGGCCTCTAAGACAATCCACCTCAATTCCCTCTCTTTATAGAAAGCCAGGAAGACCTGGAGAAGAGGAGATGTGATGCACATTCCATCTCCAAAACAGATACACAAGGACAACAAGGACACAAAAATCCAGACATATGGGCAGGTTGACTTCTTTGGGGGTTTGGCGTTTGGGATACAAAATTTCAGAAAAACATCTCTTTAGCACTCTAGTGGTTGCACTGTGGCCAGCACCATACTTACTCAGGGACCCCAGAATCTGACAGGGGCTGGGTATGGATTGCGGCTAGTACACCTGAGGACTTGCGCTGGCAGCCTGCCCATAGCTTTCTTGAAACCTTCACACATGTCATTTGAAAGGGTACCAGGGAGAAATCTACTAGCATGGAACCAGGTTCTAAACCACCCAGCAGGAAAGAGTTGGGAAGAAAGCCACATGGGTGGAGAAGCAGGAGAGACCAACTTTAGAAAGTCTGAAAGAGGACTCACATGGCACAAAGACCAAACTGCAACCGCAGGGGCAAAGAAGTCAGGAAACCCAGCCACAGCAGTCGGCCAGTGGTCACAGCAGACAGTGAGACAGCAGGTCAAGCTGGGATTCAGCAGTGGAGGTTTAAATTTAGCCAGGTAAACAGCCACCCAGGGGTGGAGAAAGCCAGACAGGAGCAGAGCAGTCACCTGTTCCACGGCACCACAGGCATTTCTTGCTGAAGGAAAACGCCCACCCAGAATTGAATGCAACAGCAGGTCCATTTTGGGGACTCCACCACCACATGTTAGGAGAAGCATGCAGATGTGCCTCTGAAGGGCCAGAGCTGTTTTTACTTTAACAGGTGCTCGGAATAGAAATGTTCAGGCCTTTCATATTTATCACCACCTCTATTCCCTGGATTTTTCTGGACTCCCAGGTTCAGGCTGAAAATGCTCCATAGAAATCAGCCAAGGATGCCAGTACATAGAACTCCCATCACTCTTGCCACACAGGGATTTTCACATCTATTGCTGTTTGGAATCTTAAGAGACTTGAGTTACAAGTGCTGCTTATACAGAACAACAAAACCTCTGGACAGCTGTACTGAGGTGTGGGGCTGGTGGACGTGTGGGGCTGGTGGATGCTGAGGATTTGTCTAGAAGATTAAGGAGATGAATGACAAGTGGTGTGAAAAGAACCAGAGGTGCCAAATCAGAATCCTGGACACAAGGATCTCTTGAACCTACTGGTTTCTATGTCAGAGAGGACAAAGTCTATATGTACCCTCACATACATACACACTCTACAAATGTATAAAAACTATAAAAATCTACAACGATTCTAGAAGTAAAAGCCAGAACACACCAACCTAGCCTTTGCCCTTCTCGAAGAAGAACAAACAAGATCATTAAAAAAGTTGTTTTAGCTGGGAAGTAGCTCAGTCACAGACCGCTCGCCTGGCATGTACAAGGCTCCAAGTTCTAGCCCCCAGCACTGTGAAGAAGCCAATTCCTCCAGCTGCCACTACATTAAGTGAAGGGGGAAATGATAGGTGAAGAACAATCCAAGAAGGTTTTTCTTTTCACAGCATATGTCCCCCTGCAATGTTGGGAATATTATAATTTTTTGTGCTGGGAATGGAACCCAGGGCCTGGAACACAGTAAGTATATGCTCTACCACCCACCTCCACTTCAGCCCTGACCCTTTAAAGGCTTATGCTTTCTAGATAGAAAACATTTTAGGAAATTATTGTTTCAGGCCAGTAAGAAACCCTGGAAGACATTACAACCACATATGCACTCAAGAGATAGCTGGTTTAAGTCACCCTGGGCAAATACCATCACTCGCATACTTAAATACTCAAAGGATCTGAGCCTGAGAAAGCAAAAGCTCCACAGACGGGAAAGGGCCAGCAATGTCCACCAAGCCTGGCTAGGCTCCCCTGGGAAGCAACCCCCCCCCCCTCAGTGTGTCACAAGTCTTCTGATGCTTTTAAGGAGAAAGAAAAGAAAGGAGATGTCTCTCCAAGTTGCACACAGTGTCAGCACCTACACCTGTAGGTTAGCAGTCCTGGCTTCAATTACACCTTCCATGGGGTCCTGCCCCGAGATCCTATGAAGACCCAGCACTGCCTCTCTCCCCACTCTGGCCCCCAAGGTTGACTTCTGCACCTCCTCTTTGCTATTTATAACTATCAATCATCTGTGCCAAAGAGAGACCTGAAATAAAGAAAAAACACCACCCAGTTTTCTCCCCACCCAGTCCTCCACCTCCAATAGGCCAGGTGGTTGCCAGGACCCAAGTATCAGCCAGGACAGGCCTGTGGTTGCTGGGTCTGGGGACTGGCATTCCTAGCCTGTGCCTGAGATCAGAGTCTTGCCTTTGATAAATAAGTAAGCTCTCCATGTGAACCCACACAGCAACAGCTGGAGCACGGGAGGGTGCTCTGGCTTTCTAAGAGTGTGCCCCCTACTCCAGGATCCTCCACCAGTCACAGAAGGGGAACCCTAGGCTTCCACATGGGCCTGCCTGAGTACTGCTATCTGGCAAGGAGAGAGACCCTGCCTGTCCACAAGCCCTGGCCCTACACTGACAGCATGCACACAGTTAGGGAAAATTGCATTCTTTTGTGGTGGGTGAAGTAATTGGGGTCTGGAAACTTGACCCGGGGCCTTTTTCCTTCAGGTACTAGGCTGAAACTGCCCAGGGTAGGTGTCCCTTAAAGCTTTGTCAACGTGGCCTGGTAGCAAAAACAGTGAAGGACTTGGTAAAAGTGCAGGGCGATCGCCAACTCCCCCATCAACTCACTAAGCCACCCGGGGCCTGGGCCACCTCAGTTTCTCTGCCTGCCAAACAGAATCGATCATCCTCGCAGCAAAGTGGAGGGTATCTAACAGTGATTTGCAGGATGCAATAGCTAAGAAACTTGGGTCTGACTAGGGTGCTGGGCCCGTTACCCGCCAGGGCGCCCCAGGAGGATGAGAGACAGATGCAGAGGATCAATCCGAAAAACAGCACGACACCTCCAGGAGCCGCTCTGGCCTCAGACACGAATTGGGCAGCAGACTGCCGCGTTTGGGGGTACTGAAGTAATCCCTTCACATTACCTGTCCAGAGACTCCGCGCCCCACGCAGCATGGGACGGAAAACTCCAGCTGGGCCCCGCGGAGCCGGGAATGCAGAGCGCCAGGTCTCCCGCCGCGCGCGCAGAGCCCAGGGTGCCATCCCCGCGCCTCGGGCGGGTCGCCGTCCTCCCGGCCACGCTCCCGCGGAGCTGCGGGGAAGCCCGCGCCCTACCTGCCCGCGTCGGGCGCTGCCCGCGGCCCCAGCTTTGTTCGCGGTGCTCGGTGGTGGGGGTGACTTCGCGCCCCCTGTCCGCCCCCGGCCGCTCCACAGCGGTTCCCCGTGCCGCGTTGCTTACCTGCCGGGCCCGGAGCTGCCGGGCAGCCTGTGCTCCACGCGCCGGCCGCTCCTCATCCGCTGCCGGGCTCCCGGCTGCGGGGTCCGGCCAGCCCCAGGTCTCCGCGCTGTCCGCCACCGCCGGGTACCGGGCGCCGGGACCCCGAGCTCGGCGGGTCGCGGCTGGGGGAGGCGTTCTTCAGCCGGCCGCGGGACCCCGGGAAGTTTCGGCCCCGAGTTGGCTGCGCACGGGTGGCGGC